AAAATAAAACAATTATTTTCATGTTATAACAAATAAATGGTGAATATCAAATTCCATAATATTTTTTGTAAATGAAAAAAAAAAAATTGTAATTTTAATTTAGTTTAACACTAAAAGCAATGGTTTTATTGCTAGTTAAAACAATTTTTTTTTTTCAGATTTGCTAAACATTACCAAATTAAAAGTTTTAAAAATGAACTTTGATGACCATAAGATGATGGCAAAGGTAATCTAAATGTAAAAATTATGAGGCACCAATACATTGTGTCTGCTTATAGTACAAACACTCATTCACAGTTGTTTTCCTAATAAGAAACACAAGGCAGATCACGCTTTGTCCACACAAAGAGCAATAACGCATGCTCAACCTCAATCTACACCAAATAAAAGAACAAATAAAATCACTAACAATGATTTCAGGGAGATAAATAAACAATCTCACACGAGACCTGCGATCTGAGCGCAACAGTGGATAAGTACTTTAGAAGTCACAAGGAGCAAAGACAAATAAGACACGCAGACGCTGGGGACCTCATGCAAACGCATATTTGCATATCAGTATGCCGCACATTGTCTTCTAATAAAATAAAAAATATTCCAAGGTACTCAAGCATCTTGTTTTAACTTTTACTGCCAAGAATTAAAGGACAGTGCTTGGCAAAGTATTTAAACATTCAGCACATATGGAAGCGAATATTGAGATTTTCTTCACGTTGGAATGAAGATTGAAGCAAATGCACTGCTGGAAGTACAAGATAATGTAATTTTTTCACCAATTGCCTATTATTAAGGCACAGAAAACCATTACAAACTGTCTGAAGCAGAGGGGAAGCACAAGATCGGTTTCATACCACACATACTTTCACAACAAATACACTTAATAATGTCAATAATAATAATAATAATATACATTTAAGATTTTAAAAGATTTTTTCAAACTGCTGGAAGTACAAGATAATGACCAGCTATGGAAATACCCAGCCACTAACGAAATAAATTAAACAAGACACCAGTGTGCCACCAGCAAAGTGTCAATTAGAAGTGAAAGGACAATCTGTTATCTAACACAGGAAATCAATGCGAACGGGTGTTTCACGACCCATCATGCGTGACGTCAGTAATCACACTACATTATATTGGGTGCAATTAATCTCGGTGTGAGTTCAGGGTTAGTTTCTCTGTATGAAACCCCAACGGATAAATCTCGATTCTTTCCAGGAACCAAACTTTGGGGATTATGGGTGAGGAAATTGTGAGGGTTTTTCTTCAGATGAGTAGCCTCATTAAACACACTCTTATCTAGCCTATTTAATTAGAATTAAAGTTCATTAGTCAACAAAGCTTACTTGCTGGAGATATAAAGCACCCCTCTTTGTAACAGAGCATTACTGTTTGTTAATTTTAATGAAAGTTGCCGAGCAGCATTAATAAAAAAAAGATTGTAAAACTTGCTGCAGTTCACAACTGCATGTTTGCCTTCATTGAGGGAAAAATATGTATTTGCTGAGAAAAAAAGCCCCAAATTAAGATAATTCAAAGACACATTCTATCTATCTATCTATCTATCTATCTATCTATCTATCTATCTATCTATCTATCTATCTATCTAAGCATATTAGATGCTTTCTGAAGGATCATGTGACTGAAGTATGAAGTAGTAATGGCTGCTGAAAACTCAGCTTACCATCTCAGAAATAAATTAAATTAAAAAAATTTTTTTTTCAAATAATCAATAGTTCAACGTGTAATAATATTTCACAATTTTGAGGTAACTTCACAACTTTGTATTACTTTCTTTTTGGGTCTTTTCTCTGCAGATACTTGCGATTAATCAGTCAGTATATCATTAGCATAAGGGAAACACTAAATCCATATGTCGATCCATTTGATTAATAAGGAAAAACCAACTGCCTGTGGATGCTCTTTCCAATGTCTCCACTGCAAGTTAAACACGCTCTTTTCTTCACATGCAAAGCTGGGTAGGGCAACCTCGTGCAGCCTGATGGGAAAATCGATTGTGTATAGGTGGAAATGTCACTTAGCATAAACAAATCTCCTTAAACAGATTATGAAGTAAAGGCTAGGGGTTGGCCAGCACTGATACATCTTATCAAAAATCCACACTGACAGCCTTGCAGGGTCGATACTCGTGGAGGCCATTCAATTCATTAGCCCCAGCCTGGAAACAATGAAAGCACTCAAGCCTGAAGCCCTGGCCACAGTGATACAGAGAGCAAACGCACTCACTGTGTAGACATCAGGTTTCTGCTTCAGAGCATTAGCGATCCAATGCTGTGATGAAGAGATTCTGTATTTTGTTTAATGTGAGCAGAGCTGAATTTATGCCTTAGGGCAGAGTCTTGTTAAGATCAGCCAAGAGACTCCAAGGGGAAAGAATGTAGCATTTGATTATGATTATTACAACCTTTCTCTTTTTTTTTTTCACCAATTGCCTATTATTAAGGCACAGATAACCATTACAAACTGTCTGAAGCAGAGGGGAAGCACAAGATCGGTTTCATACCACACATACTTTCACAACAAATACACTTAATAACGTCAATAATAATAATATACATTTAAGATTTTAAAAGATTTTTTCAAGTTTTTGAAATAAGCCTTCTATCCTTACCAAGACTGCATTTATTTGATAAAAAAAACTAACAGTAAAACATAAAGTAAAAGCAGCCATATTGTTAATTATTACAATTAACAGTTTTTTATTTTAATAAAATTTAATTTATTCCTGTGATGGCAAAGCTGAATTTTCAGCATCATTACTCCAGTCTTCAGTGTCACATGATCTTTCAGAAATCATTCTAATATTCTGATTAGGTGTTCAAGAAACATTTCTTATTATTTCCAATGTTGATAATATTTTTGTGGAAATTCCAAGATTTTTTTTTTTTTTTTTACAATTCTTTGATGAATAGAAAGTTGAAAAAAAAAACATATTTTAAATAATTTAACTTATTGATCTATAATATTCTTTTTATTTGAAAAATCTTTTGCAACATTATAAAAGATGTGTTTACTGTCATTGATCAATTTAATAGACCCCTGCTAAATAAAAGTATTAATTTCAATTAAATAAATGAACCTTGAAAACAGTTTCTGAAAAAATATTAAACAGCACAACTGTTTTTAACATGTATAATAATAAGAAATGTTTATTGAGCACAAAAATCAGCTATATAAAAATGTGTAGATTTCTAAAGGATCATGTAGTTTGCATTATGTTGCTTCATAAAAGCAATATTGATCATAAAAGATTGTTGATACATTTTTTTTTAAATGTTTAATTTTCAAGTGGTTTCTGCTAAGTCAAGCACACTTTGCACAGTAAAAATGAGCTTAGCACTAGAAAAAAAAAAATCTTGCAGCTGAGCTTCTTCTACACAGCATTGTGCTGCTTACACACGGTGTAAATACTATAAACTGTAATTTGAGCATATAAATAAATGTGCTGCTTACGTTTGAATATGAAACAGACCTGATATAATTTTTAGTCGCTTACAACAGCACAAGGCAGTTTTGCACCGCAAAGACCCATTACAGATTCAACGCATGTTCTCATCCCCTCATCAGTGATACAGTAAATAATACGCTTAAATGAAGGTTTCTAAACTCTGACTCTGATAAACCTGACCACTGAGCAGCAGCGGCAATCATTTCCATATATGAGGCTCTCCGGGCCACCTAAGCCAAATTGTGCAAGCTAAGCACAAGATGAAAGCATTTACGTTCCCGGTTCGGTTGTGCGTTAGCAGAAAAAAAATGCAACGTAGAAAGGTGAATAAATAAACCTGGTGGAGTGAGTGGATACGGGTAGGGGAGGAGGTGCTAATTAGTTTCGCTCCTTTGATGTCACCGTCACCTGTGCTGCACACGAACCTTTCAATTAGCGAACACCAAGATGTACACATCAGCTGTCCTCAAAGCCCTTTCCCAGCTTTTTTACTCAATCATGTACTTGCGGGGTCCATTTACCCATGTGTTTTCCATTAAGACGGAGAGCTGAAGGAATAAAGAGCGAGCTAGAGTGAAAGCAAAGTGGGTAAACAGACACAGAATAACTCCAGTAGAAGAAAACAGATGGTACCATCAAGAGGTGAAAGGTTTTTCTGGCCGATGAAGAGATAGATGACGGGGAGAGGAGAGAGATACGGTGAGAACGGGGGAAAAAATGTCAGGCGGGAGAGCAGTGAGGATAGTGACCTTCAGACTTAACTGCTAGTTTGTTGCGGGTGGCTGGGATGCCTTACTGTCACACACACACACACACACACACAAACCTTTGGGATTCATTATCAGCTGGATGGAGGGTTGCAGGATTGGGCCATTTTTCATGACTCGGAGAATATTAAAAATATAATTTACCCTCCAAAATTAAAAGTTCACCTTTATTTATTCATTCTCGTATTGATCCAAACATGTATGACTTTCTTTTTTTCTACAGA